AACATCAGCTGAATATGGGAGTCCGCAGATCCATCTCCACCCTAAATGAAATCCAGCGTGATGTGCTCCAAGGATCGGTACTGGGAGCACGTTTATTCCTAGGGGTGTTCCAATCAGATTTCTTACTATTTGCAGATGATGTCAAGACATGGCATGACATCAAGACATTGGTCGCCATGTGGAACTACATAGAGATCTTGACAGGGCTACACACGGTCTTTCGAAAACCGGATCTAGTGTGACCTGACGAAATGAAACGTTATGAGCATACACCATCAGTGTACGCGTGAATATTGACTGGGAGAGCAGCGCCTGTAACGCTACACAGGATAACGACCCCGGGGTAATACTGTAAGACAGTGCAGGCTGATCGAAACAGGCCGAGAAAGCATTGAGAACAGCCAGTCAGCACCTTGGTTTCCGAAGAAGCGTGTTCGGGAAGTTTCATCCATCAGTCTTCCCACGGACCATGAACGCGCACGTGAGGCCCAGGTGAAATACACAATCCAGATCTGACGATATTGGCAGCATCACGATGCTGCTGCGTTCTAAGCTCGACAAAATAGCCCAACGAAAGTTGTTTGAGGACTGTTTCACCTCTTTTACCAACGCAGACTGCGAGCTATATGCTTGTACAGCAGAGAACACCGGGGCATATGTGAAGACTTTATCTTGGTGTACCGAATACTGAATAACCTCAAACATCTGTGTCGTGATCTGTTGCAAGTCAGCCAAACATCAACTTGAATGATCACCAGGTCAAACCGACCATACACCACAGTCGACTTGATTGCCGACAAACCGTTTTCTCCCTTCGGGTATCCAGAAAGTGGAACGCTCTTCCACATTACGTTCGCCCTTGCAGTAACACCTTTTAAAAACGATGGGAACACTATCCCGTTGGGATAACGCGACATAGTCCATTTCTATCGAAAGGTAAATTAACTCAAGCAGTGTGCTCACTAGCCTTCGCTGTTACATAACGTTGAGCAGACCATCATGTGTTCAAGTGCACATCCGTGGGTTGCCTAAAACCCGCATTTTTCCTTTTCTTGTCATTTTAATCAGTTTATAATCCCCATTCCGGTCATCATACGGGATTTGGTAAGCAATCGCTTTTTGTCCGTTATATATCATTGGATGGTCATCGGATTTCTGTCGGACGGTTGGGCATATGAGGCATTTTAACCGGACTTCTTATTATAAGTAAAAAGGTTAAAAGCAGCGCATTGACATGTCCCGGTAAACGGTGTTTAAACGGAGGATAAAAAGTGGATAGTGCGAAGAATGTTCTGATCTCTAATAGCGGTCGGAAAGTCGTCCCGTCCGGCATCCATTCTGAGGTCTATCGGATGAGTATCAAACACTCGTACCGATATGGGATAAACTTTCAGACAGATATCTTTAAAACAAACAATATAACAGATATGCTGGTGCTAGGTTCACTATCAAAGAACTACATGCGGGCTGTAAAAATTTCGATCATTGACTGTTAGTTCTGTTATGAAAAACTGATTTCCTGCCTGTTTGCGTCCCTCAAGTAGATCTAACCGAAAGCAGAAACTGCCCCGGGATCACCGGTTGATGCCTTAATTCCAACCTTACTTGGACGTGAGAAACGCATGCCACCACGCTCAAGCATCCGTTGCCAGTGTTGTTTGACACATCCGTTATGCAGATTGCATGTACCATGTCTTCTCAATTTGGACGGTGATTAATCTTGAAATGGACTCCAACCGTTTCAGTCACTAGGATCGCATCTGAAAGTTAGATGTCATGTTTTGTTCGGTCACTGACCGGACTGACTGAAGTGACCTTCAGAGATAATCGCACTTCATATTTAGAAGGCAGGTCGCAATTCATTCACACCACCGGTGTTCCAAACCAAACCAACAATGGGTCTGTGACAGTGGACACGAAGAGAAACCAGTGCACTTGGACCTCTGCGTACAGAAAATATGCTCTGAACTAAGTACGCCGTCATCCCCGACTGTACCCATCGTGGCTAATCAGACAATTAAGTACGACCTTGTGCGTTGCGATTGAAGCTGTTCGCCAACATCCGACGCCAGTCCGTTGTAGGAAACTTTTAAATAAACTTTTAAATATCTTAAATAACTTTTAAATATCTAGTGTAGCCGGAACTGTTTACGCGTTCGCAGAAAATCACTGTTCTATTGCCTTTCTTCTGTTCGCACTGAGCCGTCCTCGAACATTTTCAGTGCCGGTCCCGTTACCTTGACGATTGCTTTAATATTCAGTGGTTTGCATATTGCACCACCGATATAAACAAGGATTCTGAAGTGCAAACAACTCAACTGGACTTTCTTGACCTTTAACACCAGAGCTTGTGGACATCGAACGCCCCCACTCCTGCCTATCCTAGTAACCCATTTCTAATAGAGACAAAGTTAAGACCATACGGTCTGTTAACTTAACTCGCATATCTTCCTATCTTAGTTTCAATTCCATTGTCACAATCGCAGTGACAAGAATTAAATTCTAAATAAGACAATAAGAAGACTGGTATTGCGAGATGGAACCATTTCGTGTTATCTGTTCACTCGCAAACTAACAACATATATATATGAATCACGTGGCAGAAAAATCAGATTTGAAATTGGTCACAAGGGAAAAATTACGTAGACGCAAGAATGACAGATCAGCATCTTGATCTTAGGGTCATGAGCCCCAAGGCAGCTTCAGGGAGACTGCTAATTGTTTTTGTACACACAGGATAGGGCGATGCCGGTCAAGTGCCACCGCTTCGGCAAACCTCAACACTTTGGGGTTGTCATTTCGATAGACAACTGTAAATGTTGACCTAGGGTCAACCTGATGGCCTGATTCTAGTAGGTGTCTGGCGATCGATGAGGCCGGCAGCTTAGATATCTTTTCTCGTTCGGCTGCTTGTTGTGTCGATAGTTTGGCAATCCGTTTTGGGATATGCTCTCCAATGCGCTTACCCAAGGATCGATCTGTTCTGCCAATGTAACTACTACCGCAGTTACAAGCGAATTGGGAAATACAATGTGTAATTCGCCATACCACAAGTTGTCACGTTGGCTAGTCGATTTGCTTACACCGGTGAGACGAATGATGACAAAGTATACGGTGAAGGATACATTCGACCTGACTGACTGTGTGCAAAACCTGAATATCGCTGACAAGGTAATGTGTTCAATGGACGTACAGTCTTTGTTCACTAACATCCCCGATTCCCCTGGAATACCTTAGGGATTTGCTGCTACTATGCGCTGAAAATGTGCATTTCTTATTTGAAGACAAGCCGTATCGACAGGTGGATGGTGTGGCTATGGGAAGTCCGCTAGGTCCGGTATTGGCTGACATCTTCATGACGATGGTTGAAATCAGATGTGAGCAGCACATCAATCAAATGTGTTTGTACAAGCGATACGTAGATGATACATTAGTGATCGCCCCAAGTGGAGACGCTGTTCTATCTTTTCTCAATGTGCTCGATAACACACATCCAAACGCCCATTTTACCTGCGAACTGGAGGATAACAATTGCCTTCCGTTTTTGGATGTGTTGTTGACCAGACGAGAAGACGGCTCCATAAAGCGTTCTGTTCACAGGAAAGCTACATGGACAGGATTGTATGAACACTTCAACAGCTTCGCCCCTATACAATACAAGCGGTGCTTAGTCAAGACGCTGTTTAATCGAGCCCGCAGAATATGCACTGACGACTGTTTGGAATCGGAATTGCTGTTTATCACACAGACGCTACGAGCCAACGGATATCCAGAAGCGTTTATTCGATTCCACAGTCAACTGAAGGAAAACAGGCCGAGGGTACTTACTGTGCCCAAATTGTCTGTCTACCTTCAATTACCTTTCAAAGGTGATGTCGTTGCCGCCCAACTCGAAAGCCGTGTGCATACAGCGATTCGTCGGACATTCAACGCCGCCAAATTCTGCCCATTTGGGAGACCAGGAAGTTGCCTATGCCTCCAGTGAAGCCTACTCAACCGATCTCCGCCACAACCCATCGTATTTACCAATTCGCTTGTAACTGCGGTAGTAGTTACATTGGCAGAACAGATCGATCCTTGGGTAAGCGCATTGGAGAGCATATCCCAAAACGGATTGCCAAACTATCGACACAACAAGCAGCCGAACGAGAAAAGATATCTAAGCTGCCGGCCTCATCGATCGCCAGACACCTACTAGAATCAGGCCATCAGGTTGACCCTAGGTCAACATTTACAGTTATCTACCGAAATGACAACCCCAAAGTGTTGAGGTTTGCCGAAGCAGTGGCACTTAACCGGCATCGCCCTATCCTGTGTGTACAAAAACAATTAACAGTCGCCCTGAAGCTGTCTTGGGGCTCATGACCCTAAGATCAAGATGCGGATCTGTCATTCTTGCGTCTACGTAATTTTTCCCTTGTGACCAATTTTAAATCTTCGATTTTTCTGTCACGTGATTCATATATGTGTTGTTAGTTTGCGAGTGAACAGCTAACACGAAATGCTTCCATCTCGCAATACCAGTCTTCTTATTGTCTTATTTAGAATGATAAAGGGAACTCAGTGCTTTAAATAATCAAATTGTGCTTTGATGCGCAATGAAATTTACTGGAGACGATGCGCTAGGTTCGTTGTTACCTCATTCAACGATATCGCGTTTCTTTAAGCTATTGGTTTCAGCAGTTGACCCACTATGCTTCTCATCCTCTCTGAATTGCTATACTGAATGGAATTTCACGCTTGTTCCCAATACTATGTATGAGTGACCCCAATCACATAGCTGTCTGATAATGGGCGCATTAATTGACAAGTCGATAAACTCAAGTCAATTACACGAGAAATCTTCCGTGATGGAAACTAAGCCCGCAATCGACCTGGAAGAACGTAGGGACGGCGACGACGCGACCGGCACTAGGCGAAGGCTGTGCGTCTTACATCACCTGACTCACAAAACTCACGTGCCGGTGACACCAAGCCGGCCTTGTGTCGCCATCACCCCTGGTGGCCTGCTGACCACCAATCGCTGTCCGGCCTGTTTGCCAAATGCAGTGACTGCAACCAATCAGATACAAACCGCCCCCGCAGGCATACACTGGACACGGTTATCGATTCCCGCGCTCCGCCAGTTCGCATCCAGGTAGGAGAACCGTTGTCACGACATCAAATCTCCACTAAAAGGGTTCCGTCGCTTTTACGCAGCGTCTCGGACTATTCAGATTGCCTCATGCCGGGCCCTGAATCTCAAGGCGGGAAGGGACGTCGGAGGCGGCCGAAGCGATGCACACTGGCTATCTATCACACTGGCGCTGTGATTCTGTTGTTCGGAATTGTGATAACCGTCATTGGTGTCTCCACGTCAAAGCTATTTCATGTATATGTGTACGATCATCGGAAGCCTGCGCAGTTTCTTCACGTACACGTCCCTGTGGGACTGTTCTCTACTGTCGCAGAGGTAGTGTGGCTTTCACTTGAACAGGATACCCTCTCAAACAGCCTAGTATTGGACGGTAAGTCAATTGGTCGACTTTTGGCTTCTCAGTAAATAACCACATCAGCTTATTACTTTTAAAGTGGACACTTATTCATCCCAGTCAAGATTACTGTCTCAGTGCACATAGCAACGCACCCCACGCTACGCTAAATATTGTCCCGTCGTCATTAGGCTAAGCACGGTGACAATATCGTGGCGGTTCGGTGGTGACGTAGATACAGATGGAATATTTCCTTATTATGTGACACGTGCCATCAAATGAGATTGACCAATAGATGTCGATTTATGCCGAAAAGAATATCTATTGAGCCTACCGGTAGTCTGTGTTGATTGATTAAGAGTATAATATTGTTAAACCCTGGCCAGTGCTCAGTAATTCTATCGCCAAGCTTTAAAAGCTGGCCGGTTCATTAAGTGACCGACATCACTCATCACTATCGGAGTCAACTGGCATCGGTTGGAGCTGGTACATTTGTAGTTTCTACCTACTCTCCTGCCGATTTGTGGGTTGCTAGGACAGGACAGGATCGAGGGACGAAACAAGCTTTCGCCTAACCAGCGTCTCGTTTCGTGCTCCAGTATGCGCGAAAAGCTAGCACTTCGATGTGACAATGGCTTAAAGCGTTTATACTAGGAAGACAGGGAGGTTAGAAAAGTAGCCAAACATTTACACGAATTTTCCCATGCTACTTGTATGTGCTGATTTCTCACAGGAATTCAGGAACAGAGCCAACCAAATTTCATCCAAGAATCGCTTAAATTCCTCCACCGTTTTTATTCTAATGATGCCTGGGGAAGATTATTCCAACTAGGCGCTACTTGATTTGAGAAGCTCAGCTCTTATGTCGAGCCTAGATCTGTTGTTTTAACTTCAGACAATAGCCCCGCAAGTGGTCCGACGCAGCTGATTCAAGCTCAGTGGGCCTGAGGTCGCGGAGACCCTATGTGATCTTGGATGTCTCCCCACTCAATCTGCTTCTCCTCATTGAGAAGTCCTAAATTAGCTAACCATCGCAATGAGGCTGGGCCTTACCGTGATGCGATGGTTTGTGTGCCTCAGCGAGCCATTGAGCTATGCTGGGTGGTGCTTTTTCATCTTCAGTATCACTCATACCAGATTGGTCAATGGTTAGAGGTCAGATAAACAGCCTCCTGCTCCTCCAGTTTGAAGGTTGGAATGAGGGTGGCACCTTATTTCTTTAAACGGACTCCTTGTAGCCCAACGCCAAACCCTCTGCCTTGCGGTAAGGTTTTTGAACCAAAGCCTTTGGTTGAGAACCCTAGTCTTTCTCCTGTCTAGGCCTGGGCAACCTGACAGTATCCTACCCACGCAATATTATGAATCATTCGTCAAACAGTTTCTTGATGCTCTGGCCACCGCAGAGGATAATCAACGGTGCGCTATCTGCTGCATCGAGCAGGATGGATAGGGGTCTGGATTCGAAATAATTTGGAACACTGGTAGCCCGGCTTAGTTGCTTACTTGTTGATTGTTTTTCCGAGCTACTGCTACTGCTCAAGCATTTCCGACTTCTTATTTCCCCTCTTACGCTTTTTCACTCCATCCCGTTCCAGCTTCACTTTTATCCCCCAGTCTTCAACCTCCCGATTCTTGGCCCTTCCCCAGCCTGCTTTGCTAGGCATTTATCTTCTAATTTCAGCTAACATGCTAACGCGGAGCGTCACTCCTCTCCTGTCGACAAGCCCATATCCAACCAAGCGGTCCATTCCAGTTTATCGGCTTCCATATGGATCCCTCGATCCTCCTTCAGATTGGCATGCCTCAATGTACGCACATTAATAATAATAATGATAATGTGTCAGCTGTACGCCGTAACGGCGCTTCGCTGCCGCGCGACCACCATCAGTCGCGCGCGGGCTGAGTATACCGCGAGGACGCCTACCCCTACGCACATTACTACAGATCGGTCAACAGGCAGCACTTTCCCGAATATTAGGGACCCTCTCGATCGATATCTGCTGCTTATCAGAGACCCGCCTGCAAGACTCTAGCTCCGTGCTCACTCTGCAATCGCCTTCAGATGACGCAAGCAGTATTTTCTCATTGCGCCTATCCGGTGACGATGCAACTTCGAGCACCGGCCAAGCCGGTGTTGGTATTGCCCTGGGTCCCGGGCTGATGCTGCTCTGGTTGGTTGGATTCCAATCAGTAGTCGAATGTGTACCATCCGATTGGCTGGCTCGTTCAAAGCTTCGAAGTCGCGCGGGACTAATAGGTGTTTATTCATCATCGCTGCCTACGCGCCCACAAACTATAGCGATGATTCTGTAAAGAACGACTTCTGCCGCCAACTGACCCAGCTCCGCCACGGAAGAAGCACGGACACTGTTGTGCTGGCCGGGGATCTGAACGCACAAGTTGGAAAGTTGTCCACTGATGAAATGCATCTGGGCTGTCAGCACGGTGTAGGCTCCCGTAATGATAACGGTGAGCGGTTACTTCATTTGTGTGAAGATGCTCGCTTATTTCTTGCGAGCACTAACTTCCGACACAGCACTCGCCGGAGGGTGACTTGGCGCTCACCAGCCTCGAACCAGCCTTGGACGCAGATCGATCACATTGCTATCAGTTAGCGCTGGAGAGGCTGCATCCAGAATTGTCGCTCGGTTGGGAGCACATGTGTGGACATCGATCATGCACTTGTGTGTGCTGACATGCGGATGCGTTTTGGCGGATGCCCACGACGACATTGTGAGCTCATTGACATCAGACAGCTGACAAAGTCAGCTGTTCTGAATGCGTATCGAAGTACGCTGACATGTGAGTTGAGTAAGCGCTCACTGGAGACAATTGATGGTCACTGGTCACATGTTCGCCAGACCTTACTAGCAGCAGATAAATTCTCATGTGGTATGTCTAATCGCCAACATGGACATTGGGTCTCTTCTCGGTCTCTGGAACTTATCGATACTCGCCGGCATATCCCGGCTGGAAACGAACACAATGAACCTCGCAAAGAGCTCCGGGCAACACTCCGTGCTAGCCTGAAGAGAGACCGCGAATTCTGGTGGTGTCATCGTGCGTCAGCTATGGAAGTGGCCGCTGCCCTTGGCAACCATGGTAAGGGAAACGGGCAGCAGGAGACCTGGTGTTAGTGAAACGATTTGTGACGAGAGTGGACAGCCTATCCACAATTTGTCAAAACGTTTGGAGCGTTGGGCTGATCATATTGAAAAGCAATTTAATCGGCTAGAATTGTACGATCCTTCGCCGGCCAGCGATCGCCCTGCTCCTTGGGCTGTCCCTTTGGATCCACCCTCTCGCTTAGAAGTCGAACGTGAGATCGGATTGTTGGAGTTGGACAAAGCCGCGGTACCAGATGATCTTTCTCCAGCCCTCTTCAAATTCGGAGGCCCTGCTCTTGTGGATGCTTTACATGAATTACTCGTGAAACTGTGGGAGCCGGAGACTGTCCCAACCGACTGGAGCCGCTCCGTTATTGTCCCCATCTTCAAAGGAGGCTCGCGTTCGGAATGTGGCAGCCATAGAGGAATCAGTCTGATCTACGTCGCCTCCAAATTACTCGCCTCCATAATTCTTCATAGACTGACTGGCGCTCGTGAAAGCCAGATTCGTGAGGAGCAAGCCAGGTTTCGTCGTGGTTGCGGCTGCATCGACCACATCTTCACCTTGCGTCAGTTGTTGGAGCACCGTCACACATATTGGCGGCCCACTGTAGTCGTGTTCCTCGGCATCAAAGGTGCGTTCGACTCGGTTGATCGATGTGCCCTTTGGAATTGTTTACTCAGGAAAGGTGTGTCCGAGAAATATGTAAATATTGTCCAAGCATTATATGCGCATAGCACGGGCAGTGTGAGGGCTTACGGCAAGCTGTCGCCACCGTTCAATATCTCCAGCGGTGTGAGACAAGGATGCCCGCTGTCACCTTTCCTTTTCACCTTCGCTATTGACGAAGTCATGGAGATTGCATTTACAGGACATGACTTGGAAGGTGTAGAGCTACTCCCAGGAGAACGACTTCTTGACTTGGAGTATGCAGACGACATTGCCCTCATCTGTGACAGCTCCCAGACGTGCCAACCCGCGCTGGACAGATTAGCACTGGCTGTCAGCCGCTTCGGGCTTTGCTTTGCACCATCGAAGTGCAAAGCATTCCTCGAAGATTGGCAGGGATCGCCTCCTGCGCTGACCCTTGGTGGGGATCAGCTAGAATTCGTTCGGAAATTCAACTATCTGGGAAGTGGTATCAGCGCCCTTGGGATCGAAGACGAGATCACGAATCGTATAGCGAAAGCTCGAAGTGCTTTTGATAACCTTCGCCACCTATGGCAGCGGCGCGACGTTACTCACGCGCGAAGGGTAGAGAGTACAATGCAGCGGTACGTTCGACCTTACTGTACGGTTGCGAAACCTGGTCCCTAAGGTCGGCGGACATGACGAGGCTAGTTACGTTCGACCATCGGTGCCTTCGCAGTTTGCTTCACATCTGGTGGGAACACCGCGTGAGTAACGAGCGTGTTCGTCGCCTTGTTTGTGGCACAGGAAAAGGATCTGAACCGCTCAGCACCGTTATTTGACGCACCAAGCTCCGATGGCTGGGCCAGTTGTTGCGCATGCCACCCTACCAGCTTCCACGACATGCGTTGTTTGCTCACCGGGGATGTTGATGGAAAAAGAGGACGGGTGGCCAAGCGATGACTTGGTCAAGAGGAATGAAGGCCCTCACTTCTGAGCTGGCCTGCGTTGGAGCATCACGGCTCCCTGGTTGGGGTTTAAAAGACGGTGAACACGTTTGGCTTGATACACTTGCTGACATGGCAAGGAGCCGACCTCAGTGGCGTTTTTGCTGTGTGTTTCTTTGTCCCTCCCCATGTCTTTTAGCGTTCCCCTCCACCTACGATCTCATTTCTTAGCGCAAAACATAATAATTTTTCTTTTTGCCCAGTATACCGGCTGGCTGCTTACCGGAACAATGTCTATCCGTTGCTGGCAGCTCAACTATCACGCAACTGTTGTATTTATTTTCCTTTTCC